ATTATTATTATTATTATTATTATTATCATTAAAAGGGTATGGTCGATCCAGGTGAAGCTGTCTCAAAGACAATAATACGCGAATTTCAAGAAGAAGCAGTACGCGATGGTCTTGATGAAAATCAAATAAAACGATTATTTTCAAAAGGTTATAAATTATATGCATCATATGTTGATGATCCTCGAAATACAGATAATGCTTGGATGGAAACAGTAGCTATGTAAGTTAAAATTCAAAAGAAAAAAAAAAAAACAAAATTCAAAATATATATCAAATTAAAACTCTTAGGCATTTTCATGATGAAACAGGTCGATTAACAGATCATCTTAATTTCCAAGCTGGTATGAAATTTTAATAAGCAAAAAAACCAAAAGAAAATTCTCATCTGTTTTGTTTTTCTAAGGTGATGATGCTGACCAAGTTGTTTGGTGTACTATTGATCGAACACTTGAATTATATGCAAGTCATAAAGAGTTTCTTAAAACAGCTGTCGATCGTTTTGATGCATTTTGGTAATACAAAATAATATATACAGATATATATATATATATACATACGTATATGACAAGCAATACAATGCTTTATTGTTGAGAAAAAAAAAACGAATAAACGCATGCCTAGTAAAATGATATATATAAAAATTTAATCATCGTCCGTATCAGATTTATTATTTTCTTGTGTATGACTATCTCGTACAGTATTAGTTTTAACGCATTCAGCTGATGAAAGATAACCAGATCTGTGAATAATTAAAACAAAAAAATCAAACATCAAATTTAAAAAAAAATCTTTTGCTTACTCTTGTAAAAAGCTTTCAATATCACTAGCTACAAAATCATCACCTAATTTATTTGTTATTGAAATAAATGATGAAAGTAATTCACCACCACGATAAACTAAAATTGCTGGACAACCATTTTTAACCTAAAGAGATTTCAAACACAAAAAAAAAAGAATAACCAATTTATAAAAGAAGTAAAACAACAATTAATATACAAAATTATGACTGAGTTGTGCTTCAGATGCTTGAATTCGACTAAATTTCACATATGGATATTGTTCGGCAAGAATTTGAATACAATTATCCATTGTTTTACAACCAATTGCTGACTATTAAAAAAGAAAAATCAATACTTCAAAACTATCTTTTCATTTAACTATTCGTCTTTTGGAAAGTACTTTTAAGTGTAAAAATCTTTTGTATAGTCTCCTAACATCATTCGTTACAACTCATTGGATCCTAAATTTTTGGATCCGAACCTGGTTGATCTGTATAAGGATGCTCTCAATGAAATTTTCTAATTGATATTGAATAGTCACCCCGAATATACGAGATACTTTTTTTTCCGATTTTTTGTATTCGATGACTAGAGCCTATCGAGTCCAAAATTTTTGGACCGAGTCCGGAACCAACCCGATGGATTCCATCACTAGTTTACATCTTTACACGAACTAAAAGAATTGATTGGAGATATAAAAAATAATTATTCAGTATAAAAAAATTGTGTTTGAGACGAAAACAGATTACGCTGACATACCTATGTCAGTTGAAGTTTATTTCATAGAACTATTTTTCTCAGTAGAATTCAATTAATGAATCAAGCTTATGACAATAATTATCTCCTAATTGTATTTTGTAAAAAAATTTCGATAGAATTTATATAAAAAGAAAATCTTCATTAAGTTCAAATGGATAAAACTTAATCAATTAATATATTTATTAAATAAGAACAAACCTGTTCATAAACATGTACAATAATAGTAACATTTTTATTTTCATCATCAATTGCATTTGTAAAATTTTCACGATTCAAATCAATTTGTTTGCCAAAACGAGGACTGAAAAATAAAAATTTATTGTATGTAATTCGTATCGAATAAATTCAATTCATTTGTTTTTTTCTCAATTTTTAAGATTTAATTAAAAAACAAACAACTAAATACATACGCATTCAGTAATCGGTGTTGCATTTGATACATCAATTTTGCTCGATATTCTTTAAAAAATTCATCATCAGCATCAAAAAATTCATCTTCAACAGCTTTTTCTTGTTCTTTTTTCTTTGCTTCTTCTTCATCCAACTAAATAGAAATACAAAACATCATAGATATTTCAATTAATTATATAAGTGAATCAAATCTCTTTTAACTAATTTTTTATGCACGTAGTTCTTGACTTTGTTTAAAATTTTTCCTAGCTATGTTCAAATTGATGGCTCTTACTCGTGCATTAAAAGTTTTTATAATGTTTAATAACAAGAAAAAAGAAATTTGGATGGCAAAGTATACGAAATCCATATGCAATTGTACTTTGATGCATTACATTGCTCCGTATTGTATAAGAAGAAATATAACCGTTTACGGCAGAATATGAAGACCGTATGGAGACTCAATAAGCGATCATATTTTTCCATACACAATGCAGAGAAATACGATCATAATATGGAGCCATGAAATACACCGAAATACGACAATTTATGAGTGTACTTGTCCGACCTGGGTTCATTCAATCAAGATTTGTCTAATATATTTAATTCTCTTTCAGAAAAATGATTTTAAGTGTAATCAATAATAATACTTTTTTAACGATTTAGGTTACTTTCAAGATCAATTCCTAAATGTATGTAATATGATCTCATACTCTTCGTTTTGATTAAAAACTTTTTAAAAAAATTTTATTTTCGAATTCTAAACATTTTATTCATGAATTTTATAATCAATGAAAATTCGTTTAACTTACATAAGATCTACATGTTATTGCTAATTTTTTAACTAATGCCTGTTTTTCTTTTTTTTGTTCATCTCGTTTTTCTGTTTCCAATTGTTTATAACGTCTCCAATCTTCCATAACACCTTTCGGTCCAGTCTAAAATCAAATTTATTTTGTTTTTTTTTTTAAATTGTATGATCATTTTTCAAAATTGTTTACATTTTCAGTAAAACCACTTGATGAACTCGATGGTTTTAATTCCGATTCTGGTATAAATTTTGTTGTTGATTTTGCTTGTTTATCATCATGACCGGAATCATTGTCTTATAGGAAGAAAAAAAAAACAAAGGAATATAAAGTAACAAAAATAAAAATTCAATCATAATTTATCAATTTACCTTTCTCATCTTCTTCATCGGATGAACTACTACAATAATTTTGTAATTTTTCTCCAAGTAAACGATCATCTAAAGATACCATGTTTTTTTCTTCGTTTTTTATTATATTATTAATTGATTATAAACATAACATAACATAACAACATATTTCTTTTATCATTGGTTAATTTCATCGACAAATCATATTTAATTTGTCAAAATAATAAACAAAAGAGAAGAGTGGTCATTGTCCATTTCGATTAATTCTTTTCTCTCTTTCTTTTTTTATTATTATTGTATTTATAGATTGAACACAAATGACGACACGTCGTGGAATATTTTTCAATTCAAAATCACGTTCAATGGATTCAAATATAATTCTTGATAATAAAAATCCATCACCAACTAATACCGAATCATCAAATATTATAATAAATGAAGATCAAAGTGGTAGTAGTAGTAGTAATAGTCAAGGTTCACCACCAAAATTAACAAATATTTCAACGGGAATTGTTAAAAAAAAATTAATTTTAAAAAGTACAAAACGAACTTTAACTAAAACAATTTATTCAGGACCAAGAAAAATTTTTAGTACAAGTTATAAAGTTCGTTTCTTTTTTTATTTTATTCATTTTAACTGTTTGAAATCTTTTCTTTTTGTTGTTGTTCTAGGCAAATCGAGCACAATTAAATCCTAAAGCATTTTTTGGTAGTGAAATAAATGAATATGATTTAGATAATAATAATGAAGAAACATCAACAAATATTTGTTCATCACAACCAACTATTGAACAAAGAACAATATCAAAAACTTCATTAGTTGTTAAATCAAAAAGTACAGATAGTATTCGTACAACAACAACGACAATTATTGAAAATGGTAAAACAAAACTTATTTGTCCAAGAGATCAGAAGAAGGTAAATTTTTTAATATTATTATTAAATTAAATCTGTTTTGTTTTTCTTCGATGCGGTTTTTTAAAAGATGTATACAATTGTACCAAATATTCGACAACCAACTACATGTGAAGAACTTGGAGAAACTCAAAGTTATATTGATGATATGGAATATCTTTTAGCAGGATTTCAAAGTGATAAATTACTTGGTAGTCGATGTCTTAGGTATGAATATTTATTCATTTATATACTGTTTACATAATCATATGAGAAGAAAACAAGTTTTTTTTTTTATCGATAAATGATATTATACTTTCGAGAGTGTACCACAATTCGTGTCCATAAGCATAGCCAGCGGTTCAAAAAATTTGAAAAACTTGCAAAGGACCTCATGAGGGAGGGAGGTTGTGTAGTCGTTGGGACAATCATTTTCTGTAGCGGAGATTTTTCTTTTGGGCTCAGGTATTTCTGCAAGTCCAAGCAGCATTCCAATTTTTAGTGTTCTACAATCGTCTATCTGACACTGAAACTCCCAGATCTGTAACTTATTCTTGAATCGAATGTCAAAGCCATCCTCGGAGCTTACTTTCGAAATTTTCGCAATTTTACACCTCTCTCGGAAAAACCACAGAGTTCTCAAAACGTGTCCTATGATGGAACTTTATTAGCACATATAGCTCTATCATTGCTGCAGTTTTTGAAGGAAATGAGTGTAATAAATATGTAAAACCTTTAAGGTCGTCTTTCTCTGTTGATTCGCATTGACTAAAAGCAAAAATTTCAGAAACGATAGAGCTACGTGTATTAATAAAGCTCCACTATATGCCTTTGCTATTCGGTTTAGGAACAAGCAACAAATCTAGAAGTTTCAGTGAGATAGAAGATAGTTGGACATTCTAGAGCACTAATAAAAGTTGAAATTCTACTTGAATTTCACAGAGATACTTGAGCGCACAAAAAGGAAGACGGGAAAAATATCTTAGCTAGAAAAAATAGTCGTCTCAATGACTAGTGTTTATGGTAATACTTTAGATTTCTATCTTTGGAAATACGAAAAGCTTTGCAAGGTTTTCAAATTGTTGTAAACTTATAGCTATGATTATAGACACTAGTTCTACAAGCTGTAAAAATTTCATTCCATTCGTATAAAGTCTGGTATACTTTCGAAAGAAGTATCTCATATCCTGTCGTCTTCCCGTGGTTTCTGGAGAACGGTTCATCAGAGAAATTTGAAACTTTGACGGTAGATAGATATTGAAGAGTAGAGCAAAAATTGTTACAGATTCTACATTCCCAGATACTTTTCTATAGAAGATATTGAGACTGCAAGAACTACAAATGGCTCTTTCTCAGTCACCATATGTCTGATAAAACTGAACACTTATTTATAGATATCAGACACTGCCTGAGTCACTTACATTTTTCGGTTTCTTTTTATCGCTTGCTGTTCGAATAAAATTACTAAACTCCTGAGAGCATCTCCAGGAGTGTATGTATTTGTTTAATTGAAAAAAAACAATCTAAACATTTTCCAGCGGATTCTTTTAATAGACTTTCATAGTGTTATTTTAATTGTATAGGAAAATTGCAACTTTTTGTATAATTGAGATTTTAGCTGTATTCGGCTAATAACTGCCGTTTCTCTCGATCGATTTAGACATTTTTTTAAAATATATTATTCCTCTTCGGAACGCTCTGCTACCGCACAAAATTTCAGCTCTTTAGCTCATACTGTCACTTAGTTATGAGAAATATATTACAAAAAAGTGTCATTTGCTGATATATGCAAAGACAAAGAAATTTTTCGATTATGAAAAAACAACACAATTAATGTATTTTGTACAACGTTCGATATCATCAAAATATATATGACTGATTTAAATTTCATTTCATCTCTATTCCTTTATCTCCCATCTACAATACTTGACAGACATTTGTATGTTTTTGTGTAGTATAACACAAACTTAATTCTAACTCTGCCTGTGAAATAGAGGTGGCGATGAGCGCAGATTACATGAAAAGAAAGAGAACCCTTTAAGTAAGAATCTGATGAAAAAATGCTATTAGACTCACTTTATTGAATGACAAGTTGAAAATTATATGCTTTATAACTCTTCAATTTATTGAATTGTTAATCATCATTAAATTATTTTTAGTGCTGTTAAATTTGCTGAATTATGTGTTAAACCATCATTTCGTATGCATTTACGAACTGAAAGTGCACTTGAACGTGTACTGGATTTATTAAAAGATGCACCAGAAGTTCCAGTATGTCTTCTATTTTATTTTTATATTTAATTATTTTCTTTTTTCTACAGAGTTTAAATCTATGTACAGCTTTTATTTTATATGTCCTATCATCAGATACATTGACATCAGGAATAAATCTTAGTACAGTACGTTTAATGATTGAATTAGTACATAAAAGTCCATCAAAAACTTTTATTGATGATGAAGAATATAAAAAAATGAAACAACGTATATTAACAATTATTAATCAATCGTTACAACATGATATTTTCTATGAAGAACGATTTAATGTAAAAGAAAAATAAAATAAATAATTTTTTTTTATTATAGTTTGTTTTTATTTTTGTAGACATATGATATTATACTTGAAACATTTGTTAATATATCTCGTAATAATTTAAAAGAATGGTTAAGAAATGAAACACGTACATTAAATGCTTTTGATTTAATGATTGATGCTAGTAAGAAAAGTTTTATAATGTTCTTGTATAATTTGTTTATTTTTAAATTTAAGTTAGTTCAATTGTACAAGATTTATCAAATAATGATTTTGAATGTTATTCATTATCAGAAATTTTAATACGTTATCGTAAAGTTTGTCGATATATAAATATGTTAGAAGAATTTTGTGGTGATAATTCAGAACAAACATCATCCGTATTATCGTCAAATATTGATATTAATCGAATGTATATTGCACAATATAATCAATATTCATTATTTCATTCATTATCAAAGTAAATTTATTTTCAACTTCTCTTCCGAGAAATAAACTTTTATTTTTCATCGAATTTCAAAAAAATATTAGTCATGATTAAAATAGATTATGAATAAAGTATCCTTTACATGGACAAAGTTTTCAAAATGAGGACACAAGCTAATACATCAGGGTGATTTTTAAATTGTAGAATACACTTAGGACTAAGTTATAATAGAACCCGATTTCTGAATTTTCCTATTTTTTGAAAAATTCATGATAAAAAAAAAATTAATTAATTAAAATCAAAGGTCTAAGAGATATTCAAAAATCAGAGTCTATTACGGTCTTGTTCTAACTGTCTGCTATATAGTAAAACAAAATTACCATTTTTATATTTAGTCATTATTAAGAAACGTTTGCCTGCATAAAATATTCACTTCAACAAAAAAAAAACTGATTTTGAGAAAAACGAAAAACAATGTTTAGTGTCTCTATTCCAAAAAACGTCTGCTTATGTTACCTAATATTCTCACAGTACTCATTAAGCTTTACCCGATGGCGTATATATCATATTACTCTTAGAAGTACATATCAGGATAGCCGAAGTTTCGCGAGTAAGACTTCCACAAGTTGTCATGAAATAATATTAATCTAGGATACATGTGAGGACTGAAGCTCATTTTGTTATCATGCCAAAGTTGTGGTCATGGTTCCTTATACAGAGATGTGGAGTATGAATGACGGGGAGGCTTCTATTCTACCTACACCCGCTCATTGCAAGGACTATCAGAATATGTATGAATCTCGAAATTGAAAAATTCAGCTTTTCTGAGAAGATCCTTAATAGAATTTTTTTTTTTGTTTTATTAAATATCATTTTGTATTTTGTTTAGATTACTCGATCTTTCACTTGTTTGGTTTAAACAACATTCATCAACGAATGATGATAGTAATAATAATAAAATGACCACAGCATCTAGTACAAAAACAGATGATTCCAAATCTTCAGATACATGTGATATATTTCGAGATGGATGCAAAACTATTATGTCAATACTTATTATATTAACGAATGATTGTGGTTAGTAATTGGAAAAATATTTTAGAGAGAACACACTGGAGATTTTATCTTTATGGTAGTATAACAAGATGAAAAGAAAAGAAAAAAAAATCGAAGATAAATAATTATTAGAGAAAGAGATGGTTTATCATTATCGATCTCAATTGTTAGCAAACAAATTTATTAATCTATTTTG